TAATTACTTGAAGATGATGAGGGTGAGAGAGTAAATATGTTATTTTCGAAACCAAAAAAAAAAAAAAATTTGATGGCATTTTCGTGAATTATATGAACTTGTGGGGTGAATTGGGCAAAATAAAGTTCCAAAAAAAAGGGAGGTTAGTTTTGTGGTTGACTTCAAGTTTCAGGTCAATTCTGCAAAAAGCCCTTATATAATCCTCCAATCATGTTTCGGACCAAAACACGAAGAAGAAACCGATGCTGGTGTGCCGTCCACGACCCGCATGACTCTCCTTGACGTTGAACTTGTATATTAAAAATAGTGACTTAAATATTATTTCAATATTATAAGCTATTCCTTTATTGTAATGAAAAAGCTTATATCATTAAATTATGCTCCGTATTTAACCGGTACTTTGTCTTTATTCGAGTGGATGTATATTAATTTCGCTATGTATGGCAGTTCTTCAGCCTTGTTATCTGATCACCTTTGGTCCTCTCTTATCGTCTCATTTACCCGTTCTGACAACGGCATTTAAAAAAATATTGATATAAATAAACTAAGTATCTCACCAACGAACTGTTGATCAAAAGATAAGAAAATGTCTAGTAGACATTTTGTCACTTAAATTCGATTATTTTTTAGAATAAATATTTATGAATTTCGACAAGGAGTTGAAACCATTTTACACTTAAAAACAAATTATCTATTATTTAAATATACTATGTTAGCGTACTACATGTAAATAAATAGATTTGATCTTTTCGGCTATGTATACATACAGATTCAATATTAAATTTTCGTATATTTAAATTAAAATTCTAGTTTATTTTACAACTCGATAAGTACAAGAAATAAATATTTAAAATACGACATACGATGAGTCACAAATAATTGTATATTATTATATCGTCTGATATGAATTGTTCCACTAACACGAACAATCGTTCAAAAATCGATAACATACTCAAGAAAGTCTCCTCTTATCATTTATATCAAAGTTGTATTTTAAAAGTCAATTATCAAAACTTAAGATAAGGACATCGCACTTTATGTTACCCGAAAATACAGACTAGTTTTTCTTGGCCAGTCCACAAATTCAAGTTGATGGCGTATATAAAAAATAAAGGAAATAAATAACACTTAGTATATATTGACAAATGACCAACGAGGTCCTGATCATCTGGGAATGTTCACCCGATTTAGCAATTTAACACACCGTATATACACCGTTGGATTTCAAACAAAATCTTACGAATACTAACATCTTACGGTCGATAGATGAGTAACGCAACTAAAAACCAATGTTGGACCCACGCGCAGTGCTCAATTTCTTTTTCCTGATTTTGGTGTACAGCGTACTCATTCATTCGAGCTAGGGTCCTTTCTGGATTTCGGTTATTTTGATATCATAGATATAAAATTCAGTTACATTTTTAAAAATATATTTAAATTTGTAGAAAAAGATACAAGAGAGATAGAAAGAGAAAATAGGAGAAATAAAATGATTTTGATTATTAAATATATCTATATTTTTTGTATGTAGGTTTGACCTAATTTCTCTATTTTCTATAGGAGTGGTTTTAGTTAGTTAGAATTCGAAATGTAATTTATTTAAAATCTGATCTTTACCTGTAGATTTATAAGAATCTATATTTTATTCAAAAATAACTATATCACATAGTTTTCATATTTTGTATTTAAATTGCCCTTTTTAAGTATTGGAAATATTTAAATCATCTGAAGATAAATAAAATGAGTTTATAACTATCATTTTGTATATTTAATTTATTATAAATATTATAATAACCTACATTTTTAGATATGTTGAATTTTCAACTTGGTTAGAGTTTAGTCATCACTTAATTCAAATAGGTTTTGGTTCGGTTGTTTTTAGTCCGGATATTTTGCGCAGGCACTGTATAAATGTAGAGAACGGTTCGTTGTGTGTAAACGGAATGAAATAAAAGCGGAGAAAAAGAAGAGAGAGAGAGAAAGATTATTCAATTTCACATCTTCTCACAAAAATTTCAAAAATTTCTCCAGATCATGTAATAAATTCTGATTCCCCCATTAATCACAAACATCTTCTTTCCCGTGCCCAGAACCTCAGTTTCGGTTCTGTCTCAATTCAAAAAAAGAAAGAGTCAATCCGACGATTTCTCATCTTTCTGTGTTTGAATTTGATCACACATCAATCAAAACATCTTCTTCCCCTTGCCCAAGAGCTCAATTTCTTCGAATTTGATCCAAATTCGAAGTTTTATTACCAGAAGAGTCTCTCTCTCTCTATGATCTTTTCATCTCTTCTTGTCTTGTCTCGATAGCTAATGATTGAAGATTTTACTTTCTCGGAAAAAACAAAAGAAAAAGCTCTCACCTTTCCTGTTCAAAATCTTGAATTCATCACTCTTGCCACGTAAATCCTTCTTTCTTCCATCGATGGGTAACTCAAAAGACAGGATCAAACTCAACGTTGGCGGTCGAATCTTCGAAACGACATCAACAACCCTCGCAAACGCAGGTCGCGACTCCTTCTTCGGCGCCTTATTCGACGACGAATGGAACCTCTCCCCTCCCAAAGAAGACCTCTTCATCGACAGAAACCCAGACTGCTTCGCCGTCCTCCTCGATCTCCTCCGCACCGGAGACCTCAACGTCCCCGCCAACATCCCCGAGCGTCTCCTCCACCGAGAAGCCTCCTTCTACGGCCTCCTCCACCACGTCCGAACCTCTAAATGGGGCCCGTTCGACGGCAACCGTCTTCGTTTATCCGATTCCGTCAAAGGAATCGCTCCCGGAGACGGAACGGCCGTCAGAGCAGGACCTGACGGCGGTTGCTGCGTCGCGCACGGGAGCGTCGTCCACGTGTTTGACTGGATGCTTGAGGAGCATTGCCCGATCAATCTCGATTACCAGAGGGTTAACGATGTTGGCTGGATTGATTCAGACAACATCGTACTCTCTGCTTGCGAGAAGCTTGGGAGAGGAGACGGTGGGATGGGTTTGTTTAGTTCTTCTACCGGTGATCTCCGGTATAAGTTTCAGGTATGTCATGAGAATCAAGTGAAGAGTTATACAGCTGGAGCTTTGAGCTTTAATCAGGATTATAAGATCTTTTCTAGCTGTAAAGGTAGGAGTAATGAGTATGGGATTGGAGTTTGGGATCAGATAACCGGGAAGCAAACCGATTTTTTCTACGAGAGTCCCGGTTGGTCACTTGGTGATGCGGACAAGCTTCAGTGGTTGAACGGTATGAATTGTCTTCTTGTCGCTACTTTGTTTCCGAGGAAAGATAACTGTTACATTAGTCTGTTGGATTTTCGGGACAAGAACATGGTTTGGTCTTGGTCGGATATTGGGTCTCCTATGGCGATAGATGAGAAGAGGGTGAGGGATGCTATAGCTATGGAAGATAGCAACTCTATTTGTGTGGTGAATGAGTTTGAGGATTTGGGGTTTATTGATCTGAGGATGTATGGAGGTAGCGTGAGGTGGAGTTCGAGGAGTAGATTGATGAAAAGCAAGATGCCTGACGAGCCTTGTTACCCGAAACTGGCGTTGCATGAAGGCCAGCTTTTCTCTTCGATGAATGATTCTATCTCTGTGTTTTGTGGACCTGATTGGGTTTTGACTTCTAGGCTGAGGAGAAGCTATGGTGGCTCAATCTGTGATTTCTCCATTGGTGGAGATCGGCTTTTCGCATTGCATAGTGAAGAGAATGTGTTTGATGTGTGGGAGACTCCACCTTCTCCGATTATCTGATTTGATTCATTGATATTGTGGTCTGTTTTTTTTTTTTTTTCATGTTTGCTTGTTTTGGTTTGTGTTTTTACAGTTCGTAGAAAACTACTGAAAAAAATAGCAATAGACAAAGAATACGGTAGCTTTAGACTGATCCTAGTTTTGTTCAATACAAATTATATATTGTGTTCTTATGACCTTTGTGACTATTCAGAAGAACAAACTTTACTGATTTTATCGATCTTTTGGCTCTTAAATCGATCAAAGGAAAGCCAGTCTTTTACTCAGTTTGAGTTGTATCCTCAGTATGCTTTATCTAATCCTCTTTTGATTTATAGCTTTTGCGCTGTCAAAGCTGCGAAGAGCATCTCCAAGACTCCAAAATCTCAATCACACTTTCTTTAAGGTTGTTTTTGAGGATTCGTTCTCTTAGTTAGAACATGTGAGTGGTTGCAACTGCTACTATCTTTTGGGGGCAGTTAAAGTTGCTATCTTCATTTCACTTTCCTTAAAGATGTCTCCAAGAATATAAGCTTTAGTTTTTGAAGGGAATTTTCTTTTACCCGCTTGATCTTTTTGACCAACACTTTGTTGAAAAATTTGTAGCATGCCAATCTGATCTTAACACCAGTAGAGGATAACCTCTGATCTTCAACGAATATAATTCACTTCTTTCCATCACTTTCGAGAATCACTCTCCACCCTCTCTGATCACATTGACTGTTTGCATTCTTAGAAATATATATTCTCATTAAAGAAAATGGGTCTATATCACTTATATCCGTATGATATGTTACCAAACCAGCAATCAAACCGAAGACTCTATCAAGGAAACTATCAATCAGCACGACTACTTAGGCCTTGTTTTCTTGAGGAAGTTTATAGGCATAGAAGCTAACCGATTGAATCAGTGACCAAAATAAAAGTTAATTTTGTGGTTTGAGGTGCTTGATCGGCAGATACTCCCTCGTTTTTTTTCTCGTAATAGATAAGGTGTTTTGGAGAATTTTCTTTGTTTCAAATTAGATTACATATTCAAATTTTAATGTAAAATTTATTAACTTTACATGTTCACTCTTTATGTTCTATATTTAGTTTTTCTATTAGTTGAATTATGGTTAGTTAGATAATTAATGATATTTTTGTAACAATTCACTCCCTATGACCCAATCCATGCTCACTCAAAGAAATACCTAAATACCAGCCACTTGATCTTTATTTTTTTCTACGATAAACTTAGTGCATCAAAACTCTGCAGAAACTAAACTGTCAAGTTCTGTCTCTACAAGTGTCTTCACCTCAGGGACCATCCAGTTAACCTCTGCTAATCGTCAAAGGTAACTCGAATCACCTTTTACAATTTGGATTTTGTGCAAATTTTTTTTTTGGAAAATTGGTCATATCTCCTAAACCATATCAATTTTGTGAATCTAAGGTTACCATCGTGTTCGCCCAACTAGAGTGTCACTGCCACACACTTATATGCATCTACAACCATATCCACCGCACATGACCACCATACACCACCGTCCTATGAAACCATTTACTTGAGCCACCCCTGCTAGTGTCTTTACCAGTGTGACATCATCATTCTCTCGTCACCGGTGACTCATTAGTGACTTGGTCAACTCAGATGAGTCAATTCATTAGTGACTTGCTCAACGGTCACCCCGCTGATTTGTTTTGATTTTGTTTGGTTAAGTTAAATTGGTCGATTTAAACTGATTTAATTTTTGTTTAGGTTAATCCGGTTTAGTTATGAATCAATTTCTAGTTCAACTGAAATCAATTCTCGTTAAGGATAACATGTTGATCCAATTCGACTAGGTGTTTTGCCCGCACATGCGGGCATAGTCATGTTCCAAATATTTATATTACACTTACTATTAAAATGTGTAAAATTACATTGAAAATAAAATTAGTAGAATTTACAAAATTTAATTTTTGTTATTCATTTACTTATTTCTTATTTAATTTTATATTTAAAACACGGTTTTCGGATAACAACCAAGTATATGTAAGAATTATCTTTTTAAAAAGAATATATAATTTTGATAATTTTATTTATTAATTTATAGTTATCTAATATAACATATAATATAAAGTTATATTATTAATTGATAATTCGTTTTTAATTTAAATTATTTAATAATATTATATATAAAATTTCATTAAGGATAATATTGATATTAACCACTCTAACTTTTAACGTGAGAGCTCTATTACGAAAAATCACTTCGCAAATAATTGTATAGACTAGGTGTTGTGCCCGCATATGCGGGCACAATTTTCTTAACGAATATTTATTATTTTTTGTTTTATTAATTGTAAAATAATATCATAAATTATTTTTCTATAAACCTAAATCAAACATTAAAGTATTTTATATGAATTTTCATCAAATTATATATGCTTATTATAGTGTTGAAAAATATCCATATAATAAAATATTTATCGAAATATATTTATATTTTTTCATGCGGGCATAATTTTCTTACAAATATTTATTATTTTTTGTTTTATTAATTCTAAAATAATATCATAAATTATTTTTCTATAAACCTAAATCAAAAATTAAAGTATTTTTATATGAATTTTCATCAAATTCTATATGTTTATTATAGTGTTGAAAAATATCCATATAATAAAATATTTTTGGAAATATATTTATATTTTTTCTTAATATTTAATTTTAAATTGTTTTGTAACTTAAATTTTTATTTTTCAAAATATAAAGATTATTTTCAGATAAATGTATAATATTTTATAAGATATCTTACTTTTTAAATATGCATGAATGTGGATAATTATCCTATTAATTTATACTCAAATAAATAATATAATAACATATAAATTTATATCACTAAGATAAAATTTGTTTTTAACTAATTTATATATAAATATATAAATTCATTAAAAGTATAATTAACTTGAACTGTTCCAATTTTAATATCTAATATTTAATTATATTTAAAAGTATCTTTATATGTTTTTTTTATTAATATTTAATTATAAATTTATTTTTATATTTTAATTTTAAAATTTTATAATAGAATGATATTATTTTCAAAAGCCAAAATCAATTTTATATAAAATTAAGATATATAAACATTATCATGTTGTTACAATATTATATCCCTAAAAAATAAGAATTATCTAAGTTATCTAAGAATTATCTTATTTTTGATTTTTTTATAAATTTATTATATTAATTATTCTAAGTTATCTAAGATAATAACATACTAATCTAATTTTCTTTTTTAAATTTCGTTTTTAATTATATAATTTTTTTATATATAAAAATTTCATTAATGATAGAATCGATATTAACCAATAATAGTATAGATAGATTTTAGTTAGGTCAAGGTTAACTAGTTTGGGTCAAAATTGGCTGTTGACCAGACAGTTAAAATTAGGCAATTGCCTTTTTGTTGACTTTAACCAGGCCGTTGTTTACTTGTTTTCAACCATTCAAAATATTTTATGATTCGATTTTCAACTTGATTTCAGATTTAGAGTTCGTTTGAAGAACCGGAGTTCGTAGACATCATCGATTGCTAAGGTCTGGATATAAAGAAAAACATTTAATTTAAATATAAATTAATCCCACAAACCTAAAATTGATAAAAATAAAAATAAAATGTTCACTTAAGCATGAAAACAAACATTGTTTGTAAACGATATGCATTACCTTACAAATAGAGTAGATTTGTTATTTTAACGAGCTATAAACTATTTATTCATCACTAATTGGATATTTAAGGTATCTATTTAAATTTTAATATTTATTATATATCATATCAACATAAACATTGAATTAAATATTTAAAATACTTATATAAATGTATTTTAAATATTTATATTGACTATTAATTTCAGATATTTTTGGTTACATGTTTGGGTTTGGTTATTCGAGTTTTTATATTGTTATACCACTCTATAAAACTCGTTTTAGTATCTTTTTTATATATTTCAGGACCAAATTACAAGTCGTATTTTTCGGTTCAGCTTCATTTCGGATCTCAGGTTTCGGATTTTATGCCCAATCCTAGCTCGTCTCGATGCGACTCATGTAATTACGATTTGAAGGTCTTACGTAGTTGCTCGGCTCAGTTTATTAGGTTAAATAGACTTAGGCCAACTCCAATGGGACACCAAAACACCAAATTTGATGTCATTTCATCTCCAATGGGACATTAAAAATTACACAATCCCACCAAATTTGGTGTAGAGTGAATAGTGTTTCACCAAATTTGGTGTAACACTATTCATCACACCAAATATTTAATATGTATATTTTATTATGTTTCATTTAATAATATAATTCACAATTAGTATTATTAATTAGTTCAAATTTGTAACTATATATAAATATACTGTATTATTTGTATTTTAATTATTTTTACATAATTGATGATATTTTTGAAAAATTAATAGTTGATTATTATCGTTTTATTTTTAAAATAAATAATTGATTATTTTCATTTTATTTATATTTAAAAATATATATACCAAAGAAATTTTATATTTTATATTAAACTATCGATTATAATCTCTATTTAAGTTTAATCAGTAATGAACAACTAATAATATTAAATTATTGTTAAGTTAGGTTTAATAAAATATAATTAACTTTATGTAATACTATTAAATTTACCAAACTTTTTAATTTTTATAATATATTTAAACTTGTATTACTATTTAATATTCTTATGAAAATAAATATATTATTCTATCATTATGTGGTTTTTATAATTAATACTTTATAAATTTAATATAATATAGTATTATATATAAAATAAATACAAAAATATAATATTTTTAAACCAAAAAATGTATGACTTATATTAACATAAAATCACAAAAAATAATTATAATATGTAAATATGAGAAAATAATTATTTATCAATTAAAAATAATAAAAATATAAAAATTATTAAAACTGAAAATTTGAAACAATATATAATAATATATTTGGTGTAATGTTTGGTGTCTTGGTTGGAGATGAGCAAAAATATTTTACACCAAAACACCAAATTTGGTGTCATGGTTGGAGATGTCCTTAGGACAAAGAGAATAGGGGACTCACATATAAATGGGAGATAAAAATAACAAAGAAAGGTACCCATACATGACACCCAGAACAATCGGCAGGTAGATTTAGGGTTTTACTTTGTCTGAACTCTTTCTCACTGATTTAGGGGTTAGGGGGGGTTAGTGGGAGATAGATTTTTAAAGAATTGAAGAATTTTGAGATTCTGTGTTATTGGTAACATGATTCTTAAAGTTTTAAAAAGTTTGGTGTTATTGGTGTGGTGATTTTACAATTCCATATAAATCTTTTGTTATTCAAAAAGTTAAGTATTTTTAGAATTTGTAATTCTATTAAACTATGGTGTTATTGAAACAATGATTCATTACATTTTAATTCACTAGTCACAACTTCAAAATACTAGAGTTAACCCATGTATTCTCAAAGTTGAGATAAGGAAATCAAATTTTTTTTATCAAACATGCAAATATGACGTGAGAAGCATTATCACTTCCATATAATCTCTTTTATCAAACATGCATATATATAACTATGAAATATACTTCATGCACAGACACATTACAAAACATCAAAATGATAAACCCAGAACTTTTTTATCCAAAAAAACTATGAAAGAGATTCCAGTCATATAAAAGCACATCAAAATGATAAATCCAGAAAATAACAGCATCACAAATGAAAGTGAGTTATAAATTGTTGAGGAAAGTAGAAGTATATATAATTTTTTTTTTTTTTGATATAACTCACCATTAACGCTGACTTCCAGCTTCTACAGCGTCATTCCACATTCTTAAAGCTATTGTGTCTCTCCAGTTGTTAGCATATTCTCTTTGTTGAGATTCAAGAGCACCAACATGTACAACTTCTTCAAAATTTGCTTGGTCATTGTTTGGAGGGATCACTTCCTCTGGAAAAGCATCAGACCGACAATGCTTCCGTAGAAAATTATGTAATCCAGCACAAGTTAAAACCAATTCTGCTTGTGGTGTAAAAGGAAAAGGAGGTGCTGACTTAAAAATCAAAAAACGAGATTTAAAAATACCGAAGATTCGTTCAATCACGTTTCTCAAAGATGCATGCCGCAAATTGAACAACTCGTTTTGGTTTTTAGGATCACGGCCTTCACCTCTAAATTCTTGTAAATGATAGCGAGTACGTCTGAATGGAGCTAAGAACTTCTGACGATTTGCAAACCCACAGTCTACCATATAAAATTTCCCTGAAATTCAATTTGTAAATAAAAAAAAATTATTGTTAATCTATAAATTGTTTACTACAATTTATTTAGGTACATACCTTCTGGAACGATTAATCTGCTACCGTGCCTTGTCAAAGCATTACTTAAATTTTTTGAATCATGAGCTGATTCTTCCCATCCACTAAGAACATACATGAATTCCAAATCAAAGTTGCAAGCATCAAGGACATTTTGTGATATAAATCCTTTGCGATTACGATAGCTTGGAACATCCGAAGTTGGTATCATTGCAAAAATATGTGTACCATCAATAGCTCCAATACAGTCCTATAAAAATTAAAATAGTGATTTTCAGAGAAACAAATGAACAAAAAACATATGTTAACTTTAGATAAATTTTATGTGTACCTTGAAGTAGGGATAAAATCTTGTGCTCTCACTTATCTTTGCAGCTGTTGTAACTCCAGGCTTTACCATCAAATCAGGTGCTAAGGTATTTAATGCACGCAAGATTGTGAAAGTTTTCACTGATAGTGAACTTTGACCTCTTGAATGTGTCTTTTGTGTACCCATATTTTGAACCTTGACCAACAATAAGTAAAAATGTGGCCACCATTTCTTCAATGCATATCTCTCAGACCAGTCTTCATTCTAATAAGATCACAAAAAATTTCAAATGAGCTTGGATACATGCGATATAGTGATCGGAAGTGCTCAGGGTCCTCTTTCAAAGCATTTTGAATGTAATCATAGCCAATGTTAGTGATTGGCCGACGAACGGGGCGTCGTATGCGATCGTCACTCCTCACATATGTTGTTGCTATGCTATTTAACACCACCAGCAAAATCTCTAAATCTGACTCGTCTTCTTCCATTTGGTTTGCTTGTATTTCATCATACGTTTGTTCTTCTTCTTCAAAGGTCTCCATGATAAAACACCTACAAAAAGAGACTGCTATTTATATTAATAACTGAAATACACGAAGAATCTTTAAAAACTAGACTAACCAAGACACTAACAATAAAGTTACATAGATCATTTACCGACACTAACAATAAAATAAGCTACGTGGTATAACAACATCATGACATTTTGCTTTGCTAGCTAAAAGCAACAAAAAATATTTAAAAACCCCATCATCCCCTTCTTATTATTTGAGAAGCACTTTTGACATTAAACCTTTTGTTCATGTGTTATTAACCATTATGCCATTACTTATGTGGCATCACCACAATTCATCTCATTGCCTTTTTGGAATAATCCATCTCATTAGTAACTAGACATATTACATTTCATGCCATTGAGGACAAATTTATACTTATACTTTCATTTTATGCATCATGTACCTCTATGTATTTATTACTAATGAATATTCGAACATTACGTTTTTGACAATGGTATTAAACATTCATCATTCATCTATATAACTACCCATTATATGTAATGTAACTTTATAATATATTCCGAATATTAAATAAAAGACCATCTGTTGTTATCGTATTTGACAATAGTATTAATCAAATATGTAACTTTATAATATAAGTAATGAATGTTGAATAAAATACGTATTTATAAATAGAAAATATAATATTTATATTATTTTTTCAAAGATTGAATTAATAAATACCTCTGAATAAATGTTGTCTTGATGAAAAAAAAACAATCCACAAACAAATAAAAACGCAATGAAGAAAAGTTTACTGATGAAAATATGGCTGAAAAAATAACTATTAATGATTTTTAATTTAAACATATTGAATCAACATTTTGAATATTTCGGCAGTACACAATGAATCAGATATATCAACGGTTGTAGCCGAACAACCTTAAATTATGGAAAGTATGATTTGCTGCTTCATATAATTAATTTAGAAATCTTTAGAACCAGGAAAGTTATAAGTATGGGACTAAAAGGAATTTAAACCACACGGAAAAATTTTGGACACAAAATTAATACTATGAGTTATATTATATGAAAGTCAATCACCTATTTTAAGTAAGTTAATCACATATTTTCAAATTAGTCGAAAAGTTTAATGCTCTCTTTCCATATGAAAGTCAATCACCTATATATAATATTCTGAAGTAAATGAGATACGTCTGAACTAGTGCTTGCTTGATACACAAGCACAAATCATTGTGAATATAGTAAAATAAAAGCTTCTTACACATATATAAGCAAATGTCTATACGTCCAGAATTCTGGCAAATTAATTGGGAAGTATGTAATGTATTGTTATAATTTTAAATAAATAATCTGTTGAATTTTATATCACATTTGACGATTGCTAATTTTTTTTTGTTTAATCATGATAAGGAAAATTGAAGAATATCTCAAACATCGATAGGTTTTCAAAAATCAGTTTTTAACCTAATGATGTTCCAGAACTCGATGCGTTCATGATGAAGTATATCATTTCAATGAGTTAAAAATATTAAAAGACTGTGTGTTTTTTGGTAAACTTATTAATTGTTATTTTTGTATGTAGGATTGCAACCAGGAGTTTTGAAGACAATTTCTCTCATTATATCATGTTAATTTTCAATTTCTTATGTTTTTTTAATAGAATTTTTCTCATAATATCATGTTTTATTTTTCTATTATTTATTGCAATTTAATTTTAACTGTTTTTTAGTAGTCTATTTCTTTAGTTTTTTTTTTATTATCAGATATCTATAAGACAAACATTGAAAATAATATTTTTGCAGCTATGCTTCATTTCGCAGCTATATTAATTTCTCATTATATGACTATATGCTTTTTATTACTGATTCACATCCACTATCTATTCTTCAATTAAACAAATTAATACACCAAATTATTGTTAAAACAAAGTCAAAGTTATCTCATCCCGCGCATGTCGCGGGTCAACACCTAGTGTATATTAAACTAAAACCAGTTTGATATTAAAATAACAGTCTAGAAGGATTGTAAAAAGAAATAACAGAGCAGTCTAAAACAAATATAATAAAACAAAGATCAATCTCAGTTGACATTGCTTTGGATCCAACCATAGCGTTCTTCTATGGACATATCAATGAACACATATTTCATTCCCAAGGAATAGATAAGGGTCACCGCTTTAAATTTGATACGATCATCCAAATCAGGAACCTCTTTCATAGCATCCCAAACACTGTTTTTCTTCTTTTCAACTTCTCTTTTCTCAGCTTCTTTTTGGTGTCTTTCTTCTCTCTGTGTTATGAAGGTAAGGATCTTGCTGGTCATCATTACCATAGCATCACTTTGATCACTGTTTATCTCAACTGAACTGCCAGATGCGTCTGTTCGAGATCGTTTTCTCGAGACAAGTTTTTCCACACGCCTTTTGACACCATTTTCTTGGGATGGTTGCTGAGCATATACATCATCATTGATGTCCTCAAAATTCAAGTTTTCTTGTACTTGACTGTCACCAACAGTGAAGACACGAGCATCCGTGGTATCACCCAAGCCAATTGCAGAACTACCATTAGCAGTTGCACAATCAAATAAGATTTTTAAATCATCAAACTGTTCACTAGAGTCATAGCGTAAAAACTTGTGATTTGGATGTCCCTACAAAGAAAAACTATACTTAAATACAATATAAATAATTAAAAGAATTCATTACTCTATGAACTTATGTAAACCTATATCAGTAAGCGATCCTTTCACGTAAACTATATCATATGCAAATATCATTTTATCTCATAAACTAAATTATATCTAACATAACCCTTGTAATTCAAGAACATATCTAATAAAAATGATGCAAAATATAGACATACCTTTAAATAGTCATTCCATACTTCATTAGAAGCCATAAATCTTTTCATGATAGGATCCCACCCAAAGCCTGAACTGTTGTTTAAAAGATCAACATAGCATTGATATTGACCTTTTAGGAACTTGATCCTGCTTAGGTAATGCTTGTGGGTTTTTTGAATTCACTTCTGACAGCTTCGTTCCAAAACGGAGCTTCTGGTGAAGCCATGGCTTCTGCCAAAGTTTTTGGAACATTTTCTACTAGAAATGCCATTAGGAAATCTTCTCCAAAAGATTTTTCCTTTCGAGCTCTTTTGCTTCTTCTAGGTTCATCTTTTTCATTTTCTGAAATATCATTTGTAGAAATCTCGACGTTTGTCTCAGTTTCTGAAACATTATCGTTGTCTCTTTCTTCCTGAGTTCGTTTTGAACCTTGTTTTTCCTTGCATGGGAAAATATTTTCGAAGAAATATGCATTTCTTGATTCCATTACTGTGTTTTCATGAATATCTGATATTTCAGATTTATGTACCAGAAATCGATAAGAACTAATGTTATGTGCATATCCGATGAAGATGCAATCCACTGTTTTAGGTCCAATAGTGACCTTTTTGGGTGGTGGTACCGCAACTTTTGCCAAGCACCCCCACACTTTAAGGTATTTATACGATGGTAAATTACCTTTCCATAATTCATATGGAGTTTTGCCAGTTATTTTGTGTGGAATTTTGTTGAGGATATAATTAGTGGTAAGCAGCGCTTCCTCCCACAGGTTCTGGGGCAATCCTGATTCCCTCAACATTGCATTCATCATCTCTTTTAGAGTTCAATTTTTGCGTTCAGCAACTCCATTAGATTCTGGTGAGTTAGGGGCTGTAGTTTGATGAATTATTCCATGTTCTTTACAGAATTCATTGAATGGCCCATCATACTCGCCTCCTCTATCGCTTCTAACTATTTTAATAGTTGTTTTAAGCTGATTTTCTACCTCGAGTTTAAACTCATTGAATTTTTCTAAGGTTTCATCTTTGCTACGTAATAAGTATACATAACAATATTTTGTGCAGTCATCTATGAAGGTCACAAAGTACTTTTTCTCACCTCTATTTTGTATATATTTTAAATCACATAAATCGGTATGAATTAAATCTAGAGGTTTGTTAGTTCTTTCAACATGAGGTGAGGGTGTTTTTGTGAGCTTAGCCTGTACGCATACTTCACATTTTTGTTTACTTGTTTTACATTTTGGGATTAGATTTAGATTCATTAATCTTTGTATCGATTTGTAGTTCACATGGCCTAATCTTTCAAATATTAAAAGACTCAACCAAATAAGCAACTGGCTCTTTCTTATTCATTGAAACTTTTGGAGCTACAACTTTTGGAATGACTGTCATTACATTCATTTTGACCAGTCCATCCTTAACATACCCCTTTCCCAAATACACCCCATTCTTCCTAATCACGAGCTTGTCCGCCTCAAGATATGTGGCGAATCCATTCTTGCTGAGCAAGGTTCCCGAAACCAAGTTCTTCCTCATGTCAAGCACATGCTTCACATTCTGCAGAGTGACTTCACGTCCATATGTCATCTTCAGAACCACCTTGCCGCGGCCTTCAATCTTGGAGACTGTTTTATTCCACATGAACAGCTTCTCCTGAGTCTTACTTTTCTGATAAGTGCTGAACATCGCCCTATCAGTGCAAATGTGGGTGGTGGCACCAGTATCATGCCACCAATCTTTGGGGTTGTTATTTTCAACCATGTTGACTTCAGTCACCACTGCAACGAGATTTTCCTCCGTGAGATTCACCTGGGCCTTCTCATCTCTGATCTTGCTGCAACACTCAACAGTCTTGTGACCATTTTTGTGACAGTAGTGGCACTTTCCCTTGAATTTCTCCACATTCTCATTGTTTTCATTGCCTTTGCCTTTCTTCTTGAAGTTTGGTCCAGAAACCTTCAAGTTTGCAGGTGTCTTGGAAGACTTGGCAGGGGAGTTAGCAATTGCCTTTCCTTTACCTTTCGTTTCAGCCACATTCACACTGTGCTCTTTAGCTTCGAGCTTGTCATTCTTTCGGTTTCTGGCTTCCCTCTGAAGCCTCTGAATGAGATCCTCAAGTCTCATCTTCTTCTTTTTGTGCTTTAGGTAATTCTTGAATTTAGCATAGCTTGGAGGAAGCTTTAGGATGAGGCTGAGGGCTATGAATGTCTCATCTATGGATATTCCCTCAGCAGCAATTTCATAGCAAATGAGCTGATACGCTTCCACCTGATCCATGATGGGTTTTGAATCCACCATTTTGAAGTCATGGAATTTTGCAACTACATACTTCTGGCAGCCAGCGTCTTCACCTCTATACTTCTTGTCAAGCAATTTCCAGAGCTCTTTAGCCGTTGGAATCTCACAGTAGACTTGGTACAATGGGTCAATGAGACGACCCAAAATGTAGCCTTTGCAGATGAAATCCGAATGCACCCAACTTTCAACACTTGAGAAGACGTGCATATCGTCAATCCCGTGAGGGATAATGGGCTTATCTTCCTCGATGAATTTGTCCAACTTGCACANATTTCCAGAGCTCTTTAGCCGTTGGAATCTCACAGTAGACTTGGTACAATGGGTCAATGAGACGACCCAAAATGTAGCCTTTGCAGATGAAATCCGAATGCACCCAACTTTCAACACTTGAGAAGACGTGCATATCGTCAATCCCGTGAGGGATAATGGGCTTATCTTCCTCGATGAATTTGTCCAACTTGCACAAACTTAGGAAGAACAGCATCTTCTTCTGCCACGTTTTGAAGCCTTTGCCATCAAATCTGTCTGGCATCATATTCTGAGAGATGACACCAGGAATAGTCGGAGGAGTCGCAACTGCAACCGGAACACTTTTGGATCCTTGAATTGGACCCGTTTGATAAAGACCAGCACCGAACAGGCTACGGCGTGTGGTCTCATCAGGAACAGCACCCACTGGAAGGGTTACATCGGTTGATACAGCGTTCGTCACGCCGGTTGCAACAGGTGCTGTCGCATTGAGTGGAGTCTGAGTGGCGAGGTCAATAGGGGTGTTGTCATCGTTCGTCTTTTTCTGTAAAGAAAATATGAAAACGGATCAGTACTCCATACAACGATTCAACTAACATATTATTTTTAAGCAAAAAATAATAGTGTAAAATCGATTTTCATTTTTGGTAATTGAACCAAATCATTTCGATAGAAGTCTGAAAATACGTTTTGCAAACTCGCTTATAAGCGTTCGCAGAAACCGTTTAATGTAGACTTAGAATGTTTCACAAATTCACTTAAGAAAGCATCTGTGAAAACGATTCATATATAAACGTTTTGAAAGAAACAAGTATCTAAAACGTTTCGCGGATGATGCTATAAGCAAACCGCAAATCGTTTTGAGATAAGTAAGAAATGTTTCGCGGAAATGATAAAACCAAATCGCAAACAGCGTTTCGAAGACCTTTTCGCGGAAGTGCTATAGAGCAAATCGCAAACACGGTTCCAGAACCCGTTTCTATACATCGCTTTTTTCAACCCGATTAAAGCTTTAAACAGAAAGCAATTAAGAGTTAAGATTGTAGAAGCCGGAAAACCGGATCAACATGAACGATATAAGAAAGACGGAGTTAAGGAAATAGACGATTATATAAGACATGGAGGCGAGATAAATCTCTTTCCTTAACTCTTAATATTCGCTCCGTAGTGAGACGAAACTGTACGAATATCGAGTCCCAGGATACAACCATGGCAGACGAATCACACTTCACTCATGAAACGACCTAACGAACATAAATTCTACGAACACTCTCTGAAAACTTACGCTGAGAGATTGCTGGATTTTTCTGTGTTAAAAACGATTGAAGAATGAAGAAGAGAAGCGAGTTTATTTAAAGAGAAAGACGAGAGCCACTTCCCGCAACAACTGCTGCACGTGGGCGAGAATCTCGCGGAGATCGAGGGAAGTTGAGTAGCGAAATCTTTTTCTGCAAGACTCTCTCTTTTCTCGTTTAAATATCTGAGAGGATAAACTACGTGACGTTTTTTTATTTGTTAGACAAACTACTTGTCGTTTTAAATAAAATTGCATGCTGTTTTTGAAGTTTAAATGGCAAAGCGTTGAGCTTAATTTGGTCCAAAAAGATAACTTCTAATCGGGCCAAAGGCCCTCCAATAAAACCCAAGCCCAAGCCCAAGCCCGAGCCCAAGCCCAAGCCGAGCCGGCCGGATGGCGGCGGCGGCGTGCGAGTGGAGCGCCTCCTCTCTCACTGAGCTGTTTACAAACTCATATCCTGAGTACATATATATATATTGCTCAAAACTTCTTCATTTGCCCGGTGTGAGACTTTAGTACATACATAACACATTGTTATGTGGGCTATATTCAGCCCAAGTCATATTTATTCACATATCTATATAAAAGCCTTTGGGCTTCTTTATTTGATCCAACAGACGGTTCACAGGGGATTCTCTCAAGTTCTATTTCTCTACTCAAACTCATATTTATTGTCAGACATTTTTTACTCTCTGTTACTCCACAAGCGTAATTGTAAAGTGCTTCTTATTCTCTTCATTGAAGTGTTTTACATGTTATATACGAATTTCTCTCTCTCTTTTTTGACACCTACGAATTTCTCTCTTATAATTTTCTTTTGGATGTCCAAACATTCACTGTGTTTCTGATGTTCCCTTTGTAGTCCAGTTTTAGAGTTGTTAAGCCATTCCTAAATTATTTGTCTTCTCTGCATTACTAAATCATAGTATTAAATGGTGCAGTTAGTTTAATTATAATTTTTATTGTAAATTTATAATTAAATAGCATTAATTATAAATTATCTGAAGGACAAATTAATATAATTACTAATTACCCTGAAAGATAAACAATAATATGTGTGTTTAGAAGTCTTAATCATTTTGGATGATATGGTCTATTGCATAACTTTAAAAATAAATATGTAAATCTTTAAATGGTAATGTGTTAGTGTTAGATTATCAAGTTAATTTAATACTAAGTAACAGTGAAAGTTCACTTTTTCATTATTTAAATTAAAAAATAGATTTAAAAGAAAATATAGAATACAATGAATAATAGTAGTTTTTTTTCTTAAAAAATGTAAAAGAGAAAAAAGTTATCATAATTTTGGTGTAACACTAAATAATTTAATTTATTATTATGATAAAGAAATAAAACAACCCTAAAAATGGAAAAAATAATTACATTATTTAAAATGAACATTTTATTATTAGTTATATAAACATATGGTTTCTAAAAAATAACAAAAACAATGATATCGTTTTTCAGTGAGCCTAAATGAAATATTATATAACATATATCATATATATGTTCTATTATTTTTATTTTCTTACCCGTCCGTAGGGCGGGTTTTGTCCTAGTATATATATATATAAAATACTAGAATTTGGTTAAAACAATATATTAAGAGTCTCTAATATTAATGCAAAAAAAAACTGATGGGTGATAATACTAGTTGAAAATATAAATCAGATAATGAAAAAGGATTAGACAATCTTTAAAAAGCAAATACAATACAAATAGACCTCGCGTTTGCGCGGAATGATGACCCTAGTCGTAAAACAAGGGCCGTGCGTAGCACTACGCGGATAATATTAGTCTTATTCTTAAAAGTGAGAACCAGTTGCAGCCATTAACTTCCGGTAACCAAATCACCAAAGGAACATGAAAAATAATTGAAAATCTCGAAAATAGCTCCCAGCCCCACTCCATCAATATCTCCTTTCGATACTTGGTTGATTTTTCCTGAAGAGGTCTCTAAACTTAAATCCAGGTTTTTGGTACCAAAAAATTATTGTACTATGCATGATGCATCATATAGTCAACTCGGATCAGTTTTAGTTTTAGTTTTTTTTTTTTTTGTTGGCTCAATCAGTTTTAGTTAGATAATAGAAATAGCAGAGTTTACCTGAAGAATTAAACATATTTGTCTTACCGAATTGGACTTGATGCTCTGTTTGTTGGTGAATTATTAAATTGTCATTCCGGATCAGTTTTAGTTAGATAATAGATTGTCATGACATTATCCATTCAATATGTGTAACGACATTTTTTTTGTCGGATCAGTTTAAGATGACTGATTGCCATGAGATTAATTTTCTATGTTCATGTCTCTTTACTCTATTTACAGTTTCCCTAAACCCAACATATCGATGATGCCAGACTGGTCTCTTCTACCGGAGGAGCTAATCCATTTCATCTCCCTGAATCATGACAACTGTTTCGATGTCGTTCATGCTCGCTCTGTTTGTACCTCGTGGCGATCCACATTTCCCTTCTCGGCTTGCCTATTACGTCCAAGTTACTCTCTTCCCACGTTTGCCCAGTATCCTCGAGAAAACGAACGCTTGTGCATTCTCGAGAAGTTCCCTTTGTTTCTCTTTAGAGTCAAATCTCCTCAGGGTGCTGCGTCTGAATATTTCTTGGGAGGAATAAGCCGGTATGAGTCAAAAGGTCGTCAGATAAACTTTCCATCTCCTCTTCAGTGTTCAGTGAAAGTGAATATCCCCGAATCTCAACCAGCCTTAATGAACATGCTTGAATGCCAGATCTTCCCTTTAAGCGATCATTACAGAATGATTGGTTGGGATATTGAAGAATGGAAAACAAAAGGTTACAGAGGGGTGGCTTTTCTTCCGCTAATCAAGGAGCGAGGAGGAGGATTCATTGTGCTTGTCAACTACAGTAACTTTTTGTTGGTATTAAGAAGTGCTGAAATGGAGTGGATACGGCTTAAGAGATTCACAATTGCTTCGTGCCAGAACGTGATCGTTTTTAGAGGCAAGTTCTACGGAACGGCTCTTAATAGGGATATTTTCTTTATAGATCCTTTTACCCTCCAGGTGACTCCTTTGATGCCCTTGCAGCCTTTGAGCTCGCGAAACTATCTGGTTCCATCTGGAAATGATGATGAACTATTCTTGGTTGAGAAAATCATCCCTCCTCCTGATGTGTCAGATTTTAGTCAGTTCACATGTAGAGTGTGCAGGCTAGATGAAGAGGCTGGTAAATGGGTTGAGGTCAGCGACGTAGGAGGTCGTGTGTTGTTTATTGGACACCCGGGATCTGTCTCATGCTTTGCTAAGGAGCTACCTGATAGTTGTGGTGTCAGTGGGAACTCCTTGTTGTTCACCAACGGGCCAGGCAATGAAACTTACACCTATAAATATGGAGTAAACACAGGATGCGAGGAGGAAGAAGACCTCAACATTTGGAGTCTCTCAGGAGAAAATCATGTGATGACCATCATAACATCTCCGGTAGTGGCTTTCCGGGTTCAGGACGTTCAAAGCCCGGGATTTTCTCTTTTCATAAATGAAAAATGATTTAAAAAGTTGTAAATCTGTCCTCATATAAATTAATTCGAAGTGCTCAACGGGCTTTAAAAAAGAAACTAGATCTTGACCCGCACAACCGTGCGGATTTTATTTTCAATTTTATATGCATATATATTTATTTTAGATCATTAGTAGTATACATTTTTAATTTTAATTATATATTTAAATATTTATATAACTATTCAAATAAAATAATATCTAGTTTACATGTTGTATATAATCAATTTTTTAAAATCATTACATGTATTTGTTACTTCGTATTATATATTTATCTTATTGTATTTGCATTTGGTTATCAAAAAAATTAATATGTGCATGAAAAAACATATTTGAAAAGTATTTTCTTTTTAATATATGTTAAATTTGGACCCGTCTTCAAAACTCGATTTCTTTTTAATAATATTTTATGTTTATTCATTTTACATAATATATTATTTTATATACAAAAGTCTAAAATATGTTAATGTTTATACATGTATTGTAGTCTGTTAGCATATTATATTTTTAATATAAATATTTGATATTTATGAAAATAAACTTTATAACTCTATTAAATTAATATAATTTTATAATATGTACTGCAATATAAAACTCTTATTTTACATGGTTGAATATTATGATTATAAAATAGATAAAATTAGGATAAATTCATTTATAATTTTATAAACAAAAAATTATATATATATATATATATATATATATATATATATATATATATATATTAATGCATAATAATAGTACATTTCTAACTACAAAATTAGTGAAAATTTTTACATACACTTTTTGAAAATTAAGATATTGTTAAAATATTTAGATTAAGATAATAATTTTCTTTTAATATGATTGATTGTGATTATATAATAGATAAAAGCGATAAAATATTTATTTTCGTTTTAAAAATGATAACTAAATATATTAATGTATAATAATATTTCAAAACTAATCTGAAAGTATTGAAAATATTTATATATAATTTTGAAAATTAAGATCTTGTTGAAATCTTCTAAAACAGCTTTTTCGAAATTTTTAATATATATATAACTATATTTTAAATGAAAAGATATCAAAAGATATTGTGATTAAAGTATTTCAAAGATTCTATATATTATAAGTCTTCTTAAAATACATTTAATATACAAATTTAAGAGTGGTCCGGCTTAAAAATCACACATGAAATGATGTTGTGACTTCTATTTTAATATAATAAACTAGAGCTTGGCCCGCACACCCGTGCGGGTTTATTTTTACATTTTTCCAAATATATATATATATAAATATTTATTTTATATATAATAATATATAATTTTAAAATATATATGTATTACATTATTATTTAATAACATATTTTAAGCATTAATGATAACTGAAATTAGTATTTAAAAACCTTGACTATACGTTATTAAATGGTCCAACGTGATTGAATACGTAAATTATAATTATTATGCACTTCTAATATTCTCATATTTAAACTTTCGATATTTTTAGAAAAAAAATTAGTAGTATAAACTGTTATATTAGAAAATCTAGGGAATATCTAGAAATGATTTTGTTTTTAAAATTAATAAACAATTTAAGAAATGTATTAAATTAACTGAAAAAGACAATATTACTAAAAATTAGGATTATTAATAAATACAATGGCATTATAGTGTAAATAACTTGAAAAACTAAGGGGTATATTTTATTGGTACTTCTGTTTTAATAAGATAGATTGTTGTATTGGTAATTTAATTTATTCTAAAATATTATCTGAAAAATAATAAAACTCGATTGTGGTTATTTTAAAGTCATTTTATTGATATGATGAAAGAGTGATATTGTGTCTATGAACAAGAAAGAAACGAATTGACACTCGGCGGAGTAGTCTAGAAAGTATAAGTGGGAAGCTAATTCTTTCTGATTCCAAAAGTCAAGATGATTTTAGTTTGTAATATTTCCATTGATTCTTACAATATGTCTTCCCATATTTATAGAATCCATATATTCTTTTGGCTTGATTGGTGATGACTTATTGTGATTTTATGTTAACTTTTTCAACTATTGTTTATCTATTTTCCATATAAAAATTCAAAATAAAGTAAGTTCAATTGTGTATAAAGAAAAGGAGCGTCTTAAAATTGTTCTTTGCTTTTATTCATCATCAAAGCACGTAAGGTACTGCAAGTCTCTAGTTCTCTCTTCTTCTTTTGTGAAAAATCTGGTTCGCTTTTTTAATCTCTTTTTGTGATCTATTTCTTTGTTTTTCATTATAGTGTATAAAATGGTTTGATTGTTATAGCTATTGCTTGCAAGTTTATGTTTGGTTTCATTATTTATTTGCTTAGACTAGTAGCAAGAACTTTTATGTTTTTTTATTTTTTTGTAAAAGGGTTAAGAACTTTTATGTTTACCTGTTTGTTTGTGATAAATATTTTTGTGTGTATGTTTTTACTAATATTGATTAACTTCACATAAGATTGCAATGGGTGATAAAGAAAAAAATCAGTATAGCCTATGGAATTCAGAGGAAACCAAGGTTTTAATAGAGTTGCTTGTGGATGGAATTCAACGTGGATGGCGTGACAGTAATGGAATAATGAACAAAGCAACGGTGGAACATAAAATACTACCAGTCTTGAACGGAAGACTTGGATGCCAATTCTATCATGCAAAATTATACATGGTACATAACAGATTTACCACCTGGCTGCAAAGCATTAGGAAATAAATGGATAATGACACGAAAACCTGGTGGAAAATACAAAGCTAGGCTTGTAGTTCAAGGATTCCGACAGAAGGAAGGCCATGACTATTGTTGGGCCCAAATATGACCCGTTAGCTGAAGATGACAGGCCTAAATAAGAATAACCAGTAATGGGCTTTTATGAGGCCCGTTAGCAATTACATTTCGAGAAAGACTTTAGAAAGAAGCCGGAGGCTGTTTGCTAAGAAAGGAACGTCGATAAAACAGGTTACGGAGGAGAGCTCCAGACCTCATTTACGAAGAGTTAACATGAGTAGCTCTAGCTTCTCTCGCAGGAACCTAATAAAACAGCCCAGGATACGAAGATAGAGGCGCATGATTCGGTCAAAAGAAAGCTGTTGCAAATCCCTCAGTTTACGAAGGAAATCTCGGAGACTAATCAGGAGAGGTTCAACGTGACCTGAGGCTATTTAAAGGAGGGAGAAAAGAAGAGAAGGGGACTTCTTTGAACTATTCGACACCTAAAGATTTAGACACATTTTATTTGTAACCATCACTGTCGATTGTTATTGTTTTCGATTAGATCATCAAGATCATCTTTGTAAACTCTTTTTGTTATCCAAATCAATACAAACAAACGCATTTCATTCACACAAGTTCTAACAGGATTCAGCCCACGATTGTCTCTTCCCAATCTAAACCTAACCTAATTTTAATAAGTGAGTTTTATCCCTCACATTTTGGCGCCGTCTGAGGGGACGAGATAATTGAATCCTTCACTCCGTAACTTGAGAATTGATCCATCCAACCAGGCAACGAGCCCATCCATCCCGGATCCCGTGATCCAGATCGACAGCTCACCGAACAGGAGGGACCCGGACCCTCAAGATCCGGAACCTCGATCCGCCGATCACCGATCCGAGCAACAGCCTCCGGCTAATGCTCAACCGAACCGAACTGGGATAGCTAACCCAAGGTCTTCCAGTGGAAACAACACTGGGGTTACGCTCCCTGAGAACCCCCAACGTCAACACGCTCCGCATCATTCTGAAGCTCAGCTATCCGAAATGCGCCGAATGATGGTGCAGTTAGTAGAAAGAGCTCAGGATAATGAGCGTACATTGCAACAGCTAACCGCCCGGCAACAATGGTTTGAAGAGGTGACTAGATCTCTAATCGAGACAACTCATCCGTCGCAACGTCAAGGCTCAGGAATCGCCTTCCGAGATCGACTCACCGAACCCACGTTCCCTCGCGGACGCCTGGACTTTTCCCCCAACAGCGTTGCTCGTAATGGGCAAGAGCCTGTTCTCCGGACACCCCTCACTGGGACAACCCCAGTATTTAGTCCACCTATAACTAGCGCTATGGGAAGTAACATAGCGACGACCAGCTCAGCACCCAATAGGGTTCACGAACACAACACACGATTGCCACCTCTGCCACCTATTTTTAGGTCCGGAGAAGGAATGTCTCCCCCTCCTAGGGGTAGAGCACCAACTTCAGCTTACCAAAATGGAAGCGCGACCCCTAGTCGAGATAACGCGAGGACGGAAGCTGATCCTACAGCTCACCCCCCAGGTCGCGTCCCTCAAGGTGGATCTAGAGCTAACGAGCGATTTAGCCCACCTAACGCTTGGGATAACGACGACACTCGACTCCATCGAGAATATTCTCATCAGATTCCTCGCGAAGACCCAACTGTCCTTGCCCTAGAAGGACCTGAGGCTATTCGCCGATACATGGAGCAAACTCACGCAGCTCTCCAGAAGCTGAACGCTCAAGTGCATAAAGCAACAAGCTCAGCTCCCAAAATCGAGAGATTGATTGAGGAAACCCATGGAACCCCATTCACAGATAAAATCGCTAGCTCTTACATAAGAGATACCCGAAAAATTAGGATTCCCGAATATGACGGGACCTCAGACCCCAAGGCTCATTTGAGAGTCTTCCGCTTAGCTATAGTGAAAACTCATTTCACAAGAGAAGAATGCGAAGCAGCTTATTGCAGAACCTTTGCTGAGAACCTGGTCGGAACAGCTCTCGAATGATTTTCGAGCCTCGAGCCAAACTCAATCGATAACTTCGACCAGCTCACTAACGCCTTCATGAAACAATACTCGACCCATATCCTTAAACAAGCCTCCGAGGCTGACCTCTGGAAGATCAGGCAAGGAATGGGGGATTCGCTACGAATCTACATCGAGAAATTCAGAGCAGTCAGAACTAAGCTCTCGAACCCCAACGATCAAGTAGCCATCGAAGCCCTTAGGAGAGGCCTCTGGTATAAATCAGAATTCTGGTCCGAATTAACACTCAACCCTCCTCCGACTATCGATGATGCCCTTCACAAAGCAT